AGCTACAATCATTGCCGATCCCCACCCACCGGTGGCAGTCGATCTCCATGGACTTCGTCTGTCGTCTCCCCAAGACCAACCGCGAACATGATTGCATCTATGTCATTGTTTGCCGCCTGACTAAATGCGTCCACTTCATCCCTTGCACCACATCGCGCAGCGCCAAGGACGTCGCCATTCTTTTTTTCGACCATGGCGCACGCCATCACGGTCTCCCCGAGAACATCACTAGCGACCGTGATCCTCGCTTCCTTTCACAATTCTGGAAACAGTTCTTTAAAGCCTACGGAACCACGCTCAAGTATAGCAATGCATTCCACCAACAGACCGATGGACAAATTGAGAAGATGAACGATACTCTCCAAAAAATCCTAAGGAAGTATTGTCATCCACATCAACACGATTGGGATCAGTTGCTCACCGCCGCCGAGATCGCCTACAACAATGTTGCCTGCCCTTCCACTGACATGTCTCCATTCTACCTCGACCTTGGCTATCATCCACGCTTGCCCTCCGACTTCCTGCTCCCCTCGCAACTCGACCCCTCCACCCCCTGCCCTTCTCTCAATGAATGGGTAGCAACAATGAATCGACTCCTCGGAGAAGCTACCGAAGCCCTTGAACGAACACAAGAACAACAAACCAACAAGACTGACAAACACAAACGTGACGTGTCATTCAAAGTAGGGGACAAAGTCTGGCTTTCCGCCAAACGCTTTGAACCCGAACACGGCTTGTCCAAGAAACTCTCGAACAAGTGGCTCGGACCCTTCCTCATCATTGAACAAACCTCCCCCGTCAACTACAAACTCCAACTCCCCCCTGACATGAGTCGTGTCCACCCTGTCTTCCAAATAGAATACCTAAAAGAATACCATGAATCCCCACCCCAATTCGTTGACCGCCCATATCCTAGATCTCCACCATCATAGGACGTAGAACTACTCAGGTATCTGACCACCCTGAACCAATCACAAAATACAAAGTTAAATGGACAGGATACCCTGACGAAGAATCTACATGGGAACCTCTTGCTAACCTTAAGAATGCTATGAAACTTGTTCGCGCCTATGATCGTGCTCACCCTATATCCTAGATACATAATACTCAAACCCTAAACCCTTGCATAAACCCCACCTTGACCCCGCCAGAACCCCGCATTCCTGCTCTACACACACCCCTGCACCCAACAAAGCCCTTGCCCCTTGATCTCCCTCCGTCTGATCCGCTCTTGCCTCCGTCTCGCCCCGTTCTCCCATCTGTCCTCCGCCACATCCTTGTCTCTCTTGTCCAAATTCTCTTTGTGACCCTACACGTCGCCGACGATAACGGATCTAATGGCAAGCGCTCGGGAACGATGGAATGTTGCAGCTCAGTACAAGGAGATAAAACAGCTGGTTGGCCACCATGCTGTTCCCTTTGGCCGCCACCTTGGACTCGCAGACTTCTGCAGCAGCACCTTCGATATGGACAACAAGATCAGTTCGCGACGTGCTATCCGGATCAGACCTTATCATCAGATCGTGTACCGGACACAACTTGCTACTGCGACAATCAAGCTGAAGTCCTCGCCATCTACATCACATAACTGCTAACGATTGTTTCCTCACTGCCACTTCTACGACACCCTCCAAGACCTTCCTCAAGACATTTCTTCGTTTTTGACTCTTTGTTACAGACCTGAGACGTTTTTCCAGACCCCTCGTACACCCCAACAATTGAGCATAGAACAAACATTTTATTATTATTATTTTTTAATTTTCTCTCTCTCAAACCTGACAACCTATAACCTTGTAGAACACCAATAGGATTACCATGTTACCTGAACATTGCTACTTTCACCCTTGTAGACCCTCAAAAGGATTACCCTGTTACTTGAGCGTTGATTCCCTCATCCCTGTAGAACCTCAATAGTGTTACATGTCGAGTTGGGCGATGTACATAAGAACCGAGGATCCTCAATGTGATAAAAAGGATTGAATGGACAATGCAGTGCAAGTAGAATCTCAACAAGCAATGTGCATTCCAATACATACAAAATGATGTTGAATAGCGCAGGGAAGACTTAGATACAAATCCTGACCTGACTGGGACTGACCTCATTCACGTAGCACAAGATAGCGAAACAAAATGCCAGAATGCTAATGACTAGCCCAATCAATGTCACAATACAGACTAAACATACATCATGCTCATCACCAGGTGTGAAGAGGCCTGGGGCTATACACAGGAAGAGGCGCCAGGTCCAGCCATGCACAGACGAAGAGGAGGGGATCAGACGAAGAGGAGGGGAAAGATGGGAAAGTCGTCAACACCAAGTCTCGTTACAAGTCCCAAATAATCCCTCGTCAAAATGTATGAAGTCCAATGTCAAGTCTGGATCCACATGTCACCAAACTCTCTCTCTCTCTCTCTCATAGTCTGCTGATGCAGTGAAGCCAGATATAGAGAGGGTGAGAGGGAGATGGTGGACTGAGAAGAGGAAGAAGAAGAACTCTCTCTCTCTCTTGTATGCCAGGTACTAACCTGTGAAGATGGCGCTGTGCTGCAGGTACCTCGGAGATGAAGCTGGAGCAACGGCGCTGCAGGTAAGTATTCCTGGCCTCCGCCCAATCTTTCTCTCTCTCTAGTGCTGCTCCAGCTATGGCGCCCAACGTTGAAGACTACTGCTAACACTACAAAGCGCCCAGCGCCGAAGACTACTGGCAGCGCTCCTCTAGAGTGCTGCTGACGAATCCTGAAGACTACCTGTTGCCTGTAGGGCGGGCCAGTCTTATATAGTGCTGGCCCATCTAGGAGGCTGCTCTTGCCAATACCCAAACGTGCTAGGCCCTGAGGAAGCTTCCGGAAAGTTTCGAGGTAGCTTCTGGCTAAAGCCTGAGGAAGCTTCCGGGAAGTTTCCAGGTAGCTTCTGGCTAAAGCCTGAGGGCCTATAGGCCCTTGTTTTCAGGCNGCCTGAGGAAGCTTCCGGGAAGTTTCCAGGTAGCTTCTGGCTAAAGCCTGAGGGCCTATAGGCCCTTGTTTTCAGGCTGTCAGGCTGAAACGACAAGGGGCCTACACGGGGCCTGTAGGCCCTGGTTTTTCAGGCTGTCAGACTGAAACAGACACGGGGCCTGTAAGCCCTGGTTTTCAGGCTGTCAGGCTGAAACAACCACGCGGCCTGTAGGCCTTGGTTTTCAGGCTTTCAGCCTAAGGGACGCAGGGCCTGAAAAATGACCCTCGTGTGCAGGCGCAGCATGTAACACCCCCCCTCCTTATGAAGTCAAGCCGGGGCGAGGGCGAAGCTGACGATCTGAAGGTGGAACCTGGAAGCGGGCGCGGCGTGGAGCAGAAGAGACCGGCTTGCCTTGCATCTTGCGTTCGTAGCGTGAAAGAATGTCTGGAGTTGTTGCTTGAAGTTCCGCACGGGTCAGCCAACGGTCCGCTCGATGTGTGCAGTATGCAAAATGTACCAAGTACTCGGTTGGTCTGTTGCCGTAGCGTCGTTGGGAGATCATGTCGCCGACCTCCTGAAAACCATCCAGGGAGGGTGGGTCTTGCGAACGTCTCTCGGGAAAATCGTCATCTTCCGCTGGCGTGTAAAGAGCCAACTTGGAGCAATGAAAGACTGGGTAGACGGGCAAGTGGTCGGTACCTGAATCATGAAGGAAGGTCCCTCGGGTGCGTCCCCAGCGGGTGCCACGATCGGCCAAGGCCCCATCCATTTCGGGAGGAGCTTGCGAGAGATGTCTTGTTCAAGGCTGAATTCCGCTGCGGAAACCCACACGAGGTCGCCGACGCGGAATGGGCAAGGAAGACGCTGGCGATTGGCCTGCTGGCTCATGCGCTGCTGCGTCTTGGCCATCTGGTCGCGTGCCTTGACAAGAAGCTCTTGCATCCGACGCAAGAAAAGAAGATGGTCGTCGCTCTCGGCCGTTCGTGGAGTAATAGTGTCCCACGGTGAAGTGATCGGCGAGCCGTGCTCGAACTCAAAAGACGATATCCCGATAGCCGGGTGGATGGAAGAGTTGTAGGCCAACTCGACATCCGGCAACCGCTCAACCCAGTCCTTCTAGTCCGGACGAATGAGAGTGCGAAAGAGAACCTGTGCGGTTTGATGCGCCCTCTCCGTTTGGCCATCGGTCTGAGGGTGGCGAGATGAACTGGGCTTGAGAGATGAGCCCCATCGCTTGATGAGCGCCAACCAAAAATCGGACATGAACCGGGTGTCGCGGTCGCAGACGATCTCCTTGGGTAACCCTTGGTTCGAATCCAACCGGCGTAAAGAACCTCGGTCAACTCCGGTGCCTTGGCATGATAGCGACAAGGCAAAAACATGGTTGTGCTTCGGGAACAGGCCGGTAATTTCCATGGCAATCGCTTCCCTTCGCCTCAACGGGACCAGTAATGGTCATAACTCGCCGTACGGACGATGGTTGCGGGATTTGCAACGTCGGCAAACCCCGCATGACTCGCAATAGCGCGTGACGTCGCCGAGAAGGCCGGGCCACCAAAATCGCTGGCGAAGTCGGCCAATCGTGCAATTGACTCCAAAGTGTCCGGTGGCGGGAGCATCGTGAAACTTGCCAAGAAGCCATGTACGCAAGTGAGGATCACTCGGTACACAAAGAAGGTCCTTCCCCCGTGTGTGGACAAGCATGTACGCCTCTTGGATCCGGTAGTGAGAAGGCGCCGGATTAGGAGAGGAGCAATTCGCGTACTTGTCGCGAAACTCGGGGTCGGCTTGGTAGCCGCGGATGAATCTGTTCCGCAGGTCATCGTCGATCTCAAAAGTTGAGTAGACTGCGGTACAATGGTCCGGACGCCGCGAAAGAGCATCCGCAAAGCAGTTTGACTTGCCCGAAATGTGGTCGGGGAAAAAGTCAAACTGGTTGATGAAGGCCATCCAACGGGCAATGGTGTTATTGACCGTGTCTTGGGTCTTGTAGAAGACCAATGGATTGTTATCCGTTACCCATCGGAACTGTCGTCGACCGAGAAGAAAATACCGCCAGCGCTTGAGCGTGTGTACGAAGGCCAATAATTCCTTCTTCCGTGCGTCGTCAATCAAGTGCACGGTGGGCACTTTCTTGCTCGATCGGGTGCCAGTCCACACCGTCATGTTGCTCGAGGACGGCACCAATGCCATAGCCGGATGCATCGGTAGTGACAAGTGTCGGCAAAAGCGGATCGTAGATGCGCAACACCTCCGCGGATAGCAATGCGGCTTTGAGAGCCAAAAATGAAGTCCGCGCATGGTCGTCGAAGTCGAATGGCCGATCCTCACATTGAAGCTTGGAAAAGGGAGCCGCGATCTTCGAGTATCGCTTGATGAAGCGTTGATAGTAGCCGGCTAAGTCAAGGAAGGAACGAACGTTTGTGACAGACTTCGGCTCCGGCCACTCTTGGATGGCTTGAATCTTGTCCGACAACGGACTGATGTCCTCCGGTGTGACAAAATGGCCCAAGTATTCCAGCTCTTGCTGGACAAATTCGCACTTACCGCGGTTGGCTTTGTACTTGGCGCGGCGGAGCAACTCCATCACTCGTCGAAGGTGCTCAAAATGATCCTCCAATGTCCGGCTATAGACGAGGATGTCGTCTAAGTAGACTAGTACAAACCGGTCCAGCATCGCATGGAACTCATTGGCCATTGCCGCTTGAAAGGTCGTCGGGGCATTGGTGAGGCCAAACGGCATAACGATCCACTCAAAAGTGTTCGTACCGCATCTTGAACACGGATTTGTAGCAATCTTGAGGGCGTATCGAGATTTGATGGTAGCTCGACTTCAAGTCCAACTTTGAGAAAAATTTTGCGCCGCCCAAACGCTCGAGAAGTTCGTCAATTCGCGGAAGAGGTCCCGCATTCTTGACGGTTTGTGCGTTGAGCTTGTGGTAGTCGATGCACAAGCGAAGATCCTTGTTCTTCTTCCCTACGAAGAGAACTGGCGCACCATATGGTGAGCTGCTAGGGCGGATCTAGCCCTTGTCCAAAAGATCGTCGAGTTGAGCGCGGAGAACCTCGAGCTCTTCCTCGCTCATGCGATAGATGCATCCTTTCAACGGCACGACACCGGCCTCGAGAATGATCTCGTGGGAGATCGGCCGATCCGGCACCACACCGGTAGGAGACTCGAAGATGTCGGTGAACTCCTCGAGCAGCCGCACCACTCGGGGTTCCGAAGACAAGTCCGTTGGTGAAGATTCGGTCGTCAAGGCGGCTCGTAGAAAACATAGGCCGATCTCGTCGGTTCGCTCGTAAGCGAAAGTGGCCCGAAAAGACTTGGCCATTACAACTTGGCACCGGATCGAGGAGTGCGGAAGAGGAATGGTACACGGCACCTCGACACCGAAGGCGTTGCGAACGGTAAGTGTCCGCTGATGGAAGTTAACCGTGTGATCCGCACTTGCAAGCCAAGGCATGCCCAGAATGATGTCGAAGGTCGTGTCCAAGACGTCAAACGTCACCGGTTCGCATGCATGAGGTGCGAAATAAACCGGCACGGCTGCAATGTAACGATCGAGGAGTTGCTGCGTTCGACCGTCTGCCAACTTGATCGCCGTCGGGTTTGGCTTCCTTCGAACTTGAGCGCCAAGGCCGGCCCTTTGGATAAAGGACTGGCTGATGAAATTGTGAGTCGCGCCGCTATCCAGCAAAGCGCTGCAGGACGCTTGCCCAACTTGGATGCGGACGTAGAGGGGCGGTGCGTTGTTATCATCGTACCGCTGCATGCGAAACTTGCGGGCCACCTTGGCAACATACGCAAGGATGTCCCCCACCGCAGCTTCCTCATCCGTCGGCGAAGATGGTGGTGCATAGAAGGCTAAGTATGTGTGGAGATGGACGCATAGTGCTACACATTGCGGTCCTGGCAAGCAGCCTGTGGAAGGGAGAGGAAGCCATGCAAAGTCCTCGGACGTCAACGGGTCCAAGACCTCTATGTTCAACTCGTGCGTCGAATCCCTTGAAGAGCCACTTGAAGACGATCTATTGTTGCTGTTGCCGGACGGAGAAGAAGCCGCACACACATCTTGTCCTTGAGCTTGAGAACCCAGCGAAGGAACGAGCCGGGCAGCATAGTCATCATAAGAATACAAGAGAGGACTGTCGACTTTCGCATGTGCCTCGGAATGAAGAGAGGTCACTCGCGAAGCAACCGATTCCGAAGGCGTCGAGAGTGCACTCGCATCACTCTCGGCGGTGCTCACTTTCCCTAAGGGGATTTGGCTTGGACCGGTGTGGGGCACATTGCGGTGTCGTGCACCGCGCTGTTGCACCACAAGCAATATCGGTACTTAGAACAGACGCGGTACTCGCCTTCCGAGACACCGTAATGTGTCCAAGGCTCTTGAGCCGCTGGTCCGACCCCGGGGGCTGAAGTGGTGTGTGTCTTCGGTTTGCCGCGTCCTCGCCCTCTGGCGGGGCGGCCACCATCCTGGGCGGCTGCCAATCTATCTCCTTCCTCAAAAGACGCAGCCTCGTTTGAAATGTTGGTCATTGTAGTTCGACGGCAAGTTGGACGTGGATGCCAAGCGTTGGTACTCGGTGATCCAGTCCATGCTTGGCAGGTCGTTCTGATAGAATCGCTGAAGTTTTTCTGCTCGGGCGGCTCCACTTGGAACCGCGTATGCCATGCTGCCTTGAGATCAACCCAACTGATCTTCGTATGCAGCTCGGAGACTGCGACGTTGTGCATGGACAACATGTTGTCCAGCCATGCCTGGCACGCGCCTCCCGAGCGGGAGTATAAGTACGAGTGCCAGTTCGAATTGATGACGTGGTGAATGTCCAACTTCAGCTCAAACTGACACCACCATGGGATCGGGTCCGGCTTCGTTGCATCGCAGAAGATTGGGAGGTCGTCAAACTTCGGAATGCTCTCGCGATTGGAGTGGTTGCGGCAACGCAAATCTGCTGGCTAATCCGCTGACTTGTCGTTAAAGCGCCGTCCTTGAGAGTCTCGACGTCGATCTCCAAAACGTTAATGCGATCCGCCAATTTGGAGGGTCCGGCGGGAGTGGCTGTTGCAAGCTGCTGTTCCAGCCGGCGTACCCGGTCAAGCAGTTCGTCAATCACACGAATCTGCTTCCGGACCAGGGTGTCCATGCAGAGGATGTCCTCTTGCTGTGCTGCACAGGTGGCGACCAAGTCGCTCACATGTTCGATTGTGGTTGCAAGGCCACGGACAGCAGAGGGGGCACCCTCCTCTGCAGCAGCCACTGCCCATTCGCCGGCGATGACCTCGATATCCCCCTCGCATCCGAGGAGATTGTCTCGGCGTAGTCGACGGTGTTCGTCTGCGGCCGTTGCTGCTGCCTCAGCGTCCGCCTGTCGTTGCTGTTCAGCGAGGCGACGCTGTTCCTCTGCTTCCTCATCTTCCTTCTTACGTGCGGATGTTGCCGCAGCTGCCCATTGCTTGTACTCTGCTACCATGTCGCCTGGCTGCTGCTCCATGCCGCTTGTCTTTGAGCGGGTGAGCACCATGCACTGACGTGTCCTGCTGCTGTGTGCCCTGCTGACGTGGCAACTTACCAATGCCGCCGCAGGGGGTACCCAGAAGGAGATAGAGAAAAGACCAGAGGGGACAACAACATAGGTGGGGAAGGGTGGGATAAATCACCCAGATAAGGAGCCACTAATCAAAAAAGAAAAGTTTGAACTTTGCAAAAAAATTTCGAGAAAAATAAAAATCCCGAGTTTTGCAAGTTTAGTAGGTCTCCCAACCTCCCTTGAAGTGCGAAAGTATCAATGAGAGAAAAAAATTCGAACTTCAGACTGCCATAGAACAGCAAAAAAATTCCAAAAAGAAATACCAAGTATTCGGACCAACTCAAATGAGAGTATTCGCAGTTTGCAAAAATGGTACTGCAAGAGGGATTTCCCGTACCGTTTTCAGAAAAACGAATGTCGGAAAAAATATTCCGAATTTCCAATAACGGGAAATGCAACAAGGAATCAAAATTTTCAAGAAAAAGATATTCCGGATTTCCAACAACGAAATTCCGGATTTTCAGAAGAAGAACGAAATGGAAATTTCAGATGTTGCGCTATTGCGATTTTCCACAACAGAAATAGCGAGAAAACGAAATCCAAGAAAAGAAAAAAAAAAATGATTTTCGGCAGTGAGGTCAAAATCGTCATTTTGGGGGCTAACTAGTATGCTCTAATCAATCAATAAAGACTAATCAGCTACCTAGTCCCCGCACACGTGTCAGATCAGGTTGTCCTGATTCACGTGCGAAGCTCCGATACCAACTGTTACATGCCCAGTTGGGCGATGTACATAAGAACCGAGGATCCGCAATGTGATAAAAAGGACTGAATGGACAATGCAGTGCAAGTAGAATCTCAACAAGCAATCTGCATTCCAATACATACAAAATGATGCTGAATAGCGCATGGAAGACTTAGATACAAATCCTGACCTGACCGGGACTGACCTCATTCACGTAGCACAAGATAGCGAAACAGAATGCCAGAATGCTAATGACTAGCCCAATCAATGTCATAATGCAGACTAAACATACATCATGCTTATCACCAGGTGTGAAGAGGCTTGGCGCTATACACAGGAAGAGGCGCCAGGTCCAGCCATGCACAGACGAAGAGGAGGGGATCAGACGAAGAGGAGGGGAAAGATGGGAAAGTCGTCAAGACCAAGTCTCATTACAAGTCTCAAATAATCCCTCGTCAAAATGTCTGTAGTCCAATGTCAAGTATGGATCCACAAGTCACCAAGCTCTCTCTCTCTCTCTCTCTCTCTCTCTCTCTCTCTCTCTCTCTCTCTCTCTCATAGTCTGCTGATGCAGTGGAGCCAGATATAGAGAGGGTCAGAGGGAGATGGTGGACTGAGAAGAGGAAGAAGAAGAACTCTCTCTCTGGAGCAACAGCGCTGCAGGTAAGTATTTCTGGCCTCCGCCCAATCTTTCTCTCTCTCTAGTGCTACTCTAGCTATGGCGCCCAGCGCTGAAGACTACTGCTAACACTACAAAGCGCCCAACGCTGAAGACTATTGCCAGCGCTCCTCCAGAGTGCTGCTGCCGAATCCTGAAGACTACCTGCTGCCTGTAGGGCGGGCCAGTCTTATATAGTGCTGGCCCGTCCAGGAGGCTGCTCTTGCCAATGCCCAAACATGCTAGGCCCTGAGGAAGCTTCCGGAAAGTTTCCAGGTAGCTTCTGGCTAAAGCCTGAGGAAGCTTCCGGGAAGTTTCCAGGTAGCTTCTGGCTAAAGCCTGAGGGCCTATAGGCCCTTGTTTTCAGGCNGCCTGAGGAAGCTTCCGGGAAGTTTCCAGGTAGCTTCTGGCTAAAGCCTGAGGGCCTATAGGCCCTTGTTTTCAGGCTGTCAGGCTGAAACGACACGGGGCCTGTAGGCCCTGGTTTTCAGGCTGTCAGGCTGAAACAGACACGGGGCCTGTAGGCCCTGGTTTTCAGGCTGTCAGGCTGAAACAGCCACGGGGCCTGTAGGCCCTGGTTTTCAGGCTGTCAGGCTGAAACAGCCACGGGGCCTGTAGGCCCTGGTTTTCAGGCTTTCAGCATGAATTTCAGGCTTTCAGCCTGAGGGACGCAGGGCCTGGAAAATGGCCCTTGTGTGCAGGCGCAGCATGTAACAATAGGACTACCCTGCTACTTGCATTACTTCTCTTTCCTTTTTTGACCAGTGATCGGCCCCGTCCCATCCTTCACAGTTTCATTGGGTCTTTGGCAGCCGGGACGTTGCCTTCCAGAGGGAGGGGATAGTGTTACGGACTCAGCCAGGGCTCGATCCCTGGTCCGCGGGGTACCACCCGCCAGGCTGCTATTCTATTTTTTTTTGGAGTTTCTGATCTCCAGTTCCTGACTGTTGGCGCCCTCTGCAGTCGGCGCCTGTTCTCAGATCCCGCCTCTGCCACTTTCGGATTTCGCACTTGGCGCCATCCGGCATTCTGGCGCCCAGGGTCAGACCTTCGATTTCAGTTCAGCCTCGAGGCAAATTGCACTTTTGCCCTTGGACTCAACTCGAGTCCGGTACTTAAAGACCGGACTCAAGCTGAGTTCGGGGACGCAGTTTTCAGCCTCACTGTTGTGCTTCAGTGTGACTTGCTGCGACATTATGTACGGAACCAAGATTGCGACTTTGTGACTTTGCAACTTTGTCACTTTGTGTCCGTGTCCGTCGAGTCGTGTCGAGTCCGTGTCGAGTTGAGTGAGGGTGTGTGTGTGCTCTCACTCCCTCCTTCTCTCTTCCCCGACCTTGCTGCTCTGCCTCAGCCCCGTCACACTGATGGTGTATAAGACGGGCGATGGAGAATGTGAAGACATATTAGTTGCTGTCAGACCACAGAGATTGGTGAGGTTCTCAGGCTGGTTTGTTGGATGCTGGCCAACAATTTGCAGATCACCCAGATGGTGTTGCAAGCCCAAACTATATTGTTACGATCCTGGGCATTCCCAAAGTGCAAATTCAGAATCAAACACAATGCCACCCAATTGCGAAAGAAATGAAAGCACTTGCAAAGAGATAGAGATCAGAGAAGAGAGAAAGAAGAAGAAGAAGAAGAAGAAGAAGAAGAAGAAGAAGAAGAAGAAGAAGAAGAAGAAGAAGATGTACACCAGCAAGACCAATGACAAATCCCCCTTCTCTCTCCACCTTCCTCCCAATCTTATTCTTCTTCCCAATAATATTAATAACAATGAGTGGATGAAACAGAATCAATATCTGAAGTTCCCTCTTACTGCTGAGACAACAACAACAACAGCAGGTCCACCATAGCTATGGCTTCCCCCCTTCTTCCACCTCTCACAAGCCTAGGCTATGCTGGACAACTGAGGGCTCTGCCCCTCTCTGTGCAAAGGACAACACGAAGCAGCTATGGCACTGCACTCCTGTCCAAAGGACAACCCAAAGCAGCTATGCCGCTGCTGACTAAGCCGCCTTGCCTGACTCTGCCTCGAGCTTCCTTGGTGCGGCACTACCCCAACTGGGGCCTTCCAGATGCAGCGCCCAACAAGGTGATGAAGATGGTGTCCACCATAGCCAGGTAGGTACCTCACCACTCTCCTCCTTCGCCCCCTTCTTCCTCCTCCTCAGGCTGGGCTGCTTGCCATAGCCAGGCTGAGCGCCCAGCTGCCCTTCACCTCCAGGCAGCGCTGTACAAGTCCAGCGCTTGGCTCAGCAGCATGTCGCCACTCCTTGCATACCGCAAATGACGAGGAGCTACTTGCTCCTCCGGAAGATATAGCGGCCTACTGGCCTCTTGGGCGGTGACTTCCTAGGCCGAGCGGCCTCCCAGCAACCGGTACCTCTGAAACGGTTTTCACCTCTTTGCAGTACCGGACACAGATCCCAGGGCTCGATCCCTAGACCTCACCCTACCCATGTACAGTATCTGTGTAATCCCCGAGAGTTGAACCTGTGACCTGTGTATTCGTAGACAGTTGGTAGGTCTGTCATAGGTCTTTAGGTAGCAGGGGTTCGATCTGTAGATCTATAGAGTAGAAGTCTTAGCGAGTTCCAGAAGTCTAGCTGTAGTCCTCCAAGAAGGTCAGCAAGTGGGCAAGTCGTCAAGTGGCGAGCCAAGTGGTGGACTAAACTGCAGTGCCATCGCAGTCCGACCTCGGTAGGATAGCAGTGAGTCCACAGTCAGTCATCGGTAAGGGCCAGTCAGTCCCAGTCCGGTCCAGCAAGTACCATGGGGGACTGTGAGCACCATGGGCCGATGGCAAAGGGAAGACCAACGAGTTTTCGAAGTATAAATCAAGAGGCAGTGCCCAGCCTTTCATTCATTCCTGTGCGAGCCATGCGGAAGCGCTGCCACAGCGACTTGTGCAAGGAGGTCTGTAGAGAGCCCGGAGCTGAAGTGCGCAAGAGAGAAGGAGCGTAGCATAGCGATAGGGTAGAGGCAGCCATAGCTGCCATAGCTGTAGTTTGGTGTGAAGTGTGTGTGTGTATGTGTGAGTGTTCAGAGTGATGCGTGTGGGATATCCATGGTGATCCGGTGTATGTGAACAGTGAGCTGTTTGGGCGCTGAGTCGCCATAGCCAATTGAGAGTGAACTTGTATCTGGATCCCATATCTCTGAGTTTTGAGTGGGCGCATATCGCCAGTTTGCTGCGCTACTGTTTACATGCATGAAAAGTGTGAATGAGAATGAGTCTGATTGCATTGGTATCAGAGCTGGTACCCGCTATTCCATGCGCGCCGTCGTGTGCAGGGCCTGATGCGCCATAGCAGAGGTGATCGCCAGAAGTAGTAGTCCGCCATAGCGGACCCGAGAGGTTGGAGAAGCCGCCGCGCACCTGCAAAGAAGACCACGACGAAGAAGAGAGAGAGAGAGAGAGAGAGAGAGAGAGAGAGAGAGAGAGAGAGAGAGAGAGAGAGAGAGAG